TTAGACACTTTTGTATCAAGATAAAGGTCAGACATCTTCGACTTGAGTTCGCTGATAAGTGAGTGGAGTTCAAGTTGTTCTTTCGACACGAATAAATGTAACCTTCGTCGCACATTGAGCGCTTCGAACAGCTTCGGAGATGTCTCTTCGATTGATTCTTCTTCTTCGATGTCTTCAATATTTTCAATGGTATCAACATTACTGATTTTAACAAAAACATCGCTATTGTCGTTCCATTCATTAAAGGTAGTAATGTTAGAATCGATATTAACCAGTCAGACAGCCAACATCCGACTATCACCGATGCGCAAATGAGACAGAAGATTATCTCGGTGTTTGGTCGGATCTTGGTTGCCATCGTCATCTATTGGCATGATACCAGTGTTTTGAAGTGTGCTGGTCAGACAAGGTGCAAAAGAAGCCAGCTACACGAAAGACATTACGAATCGTGGTATTTGTAACTGTGTTCCATGCTTCATCGATCTATCGAATAGCATCAAATACTGTCACTATAATTTGATCAATACTATGCGCCATGGTGCATTGCGGAACAATGTGTTTAACAAGCATTCGACAATAATGACATTGGAAAGAATGGATAATACCTTGGTCAAGAGATTGTATCATACTGATCGTATTCAATGGTAAGAAAACTAGCTTGATATTAGATAATTGTACGTCAGTGGGATCACAAAGGGCGTTGTCAAAGAATAGAAGAATTTGGCAAGAAATTTTCTCATTTATGTCAGTAAGCCATTCAGAGAAAAGTTTCGCATTCGTCCAGGCCGTTCGATTAACTCTCCATATTACATGAAGTTTTTCTATGTTCAAATATTTAACGCAACGTGGTTGTCGATTTTTCGCTAAAATATAACTGACGATTTTTCTGAAAATTATGCATTAAGACTTACCAATGACTAGTGGTTTCAGTTTGTCGAACCCGCTCTAATTTGAACAGAGCAAAATAGTATACCGTTCTTTCAAATATTTTCCTCCTTTACTTTGTTCTTTGTTGAGAATGAGTGATCGGTCTGGCACCTCTTTGAATAAGAGTACCCAGGACGAGGATTACGACAGTCGTAAACGATCGTATACGACGGCGTATCCGATCGTGTACGGTCGTATACGGTGTAAATTACGATCGTATACGACCGTATTTCGCCGTATTACTTGCCGCCAGAATTACGGCCGTATATCGTCGTGTCGTATACGCCGAAATACGACGTCTATACGATCAACGTAAACGATCGTACACGGTCGTATACAATGTCGTTTGTCATCGTATTCCACAGCACCTTTTCGTACCTCCCCCTCTTTCTCACCTACCCCTCCAACTACAATGGCCACAAGCTATTTGTATAAAAATGGGGTTATCCAAAAAAAAATTACTACGCAGTGTTTCTCTTTTCTTGCTCTAATTTCTTGCGTTTCTTGTAGTGTTTAGATCAACCAGATCTTGTGCTATCGTTTCTATGCATTTGTTTTGGTATTTCACTACAATAAGAAGCCTAATGACCTCAAGTCTAGTGATTACAAAGATCATAACATCGGTTTACTTCTTCCAGTTACGAGTCACATGTTTCATATCAAACGTAATTATCAACAAAATATTGTAAACAAAAGACCTCATTCAGTCTGTTCACTTAACGAACAACCTATATAAATAAAGTTTTCCAAAAAATTCCAAATGAATAATTTGTACACCACTTCATATCAATCAAATCTCTCGATTTGATTGATCAATAAATTCTAAGAACGAATAAATATGTAGAAATGCTTTCAAATACCAATAAAACTTCAAAAACCTTCATACACTTAAACAATTCAATGATCATGATCGACATACATACTGATTATGTAAATAGATACAAACAAATAAAAATCTAGTTCTAGATTTCTAGCTAATCGAAATATATTTAGATTATTTTACATGTATGTAATTGAATAGAATAATAATTCAAGAAAATGATCAAATGTTACAATTGTCTTTTTTGAACATTTTATTTTGAAAACATTCCAGACAAATGTATCAATTGTATCTGAATATTCATCTAATCTTCGAAGTCATACAAAAACAGCAGAAATAATCTTTCTTATTTCAAATAAAACTGACTTAAAAAGCATTTTCTTTTCAACTTTATTTACACAAAAATAAATCTATATACATATAAAATTATGATAATCCAATTTCTACAGATTCTGTATTCTTGCTAACTGTAACTTTATGTTCATCGATAATATTAAAACGAAATGCTTGACGACGTTTTTCAATAATATAATTACGTGAAAAAGGATGATCGAGTGATGAAACTTGAATATAATAAATTTTAAGATAAGACAAATTTTTTAGATGAGTAAGTAATATATCAATAGCAGATATACAATCATCGAATGAAAATACTTTAAGTTCAATATCAGTAAGTGATGGAAAACGTTCAACAAGTTTTAATGAAAAACTTAAAGGAACATAATGATTTTCTGTTATTGATTTGAGTATTTTAATTTGTTTGAAAATTGAAAGAAGAGATGGACTGTCGATGAATTCTGGTAAAACCAAATGTGAAGGATTAATTTTAAGATTAATCACATTTGAACATGCTCTAAAAAAGAAAAATAAAATATACTTAATATATTTAAATTTATTGACGATGATTATTATTCGATAGAATTCAATATTATCTATCTGACATACAATAAAATTATTCATTGAGAAAAACATATTAGAATTATTAAAAAGAACTCATAGATTTAGAAATCGAAATAGAAAAATAAAAATAAATTTTTATAAACATCAAATATACTTACTGTAGAATAAATTGAATATCTTTCCATCTAGATATATCCCCATCTGATTGAAAGTTAATTTCATTTACATTGGCTAAATGAACAAAACGTGAAAGATAAGTAACACGTTCCTGCGAACGACCATTGTCAATTGATTGAACATAGTTCACTAAAAAGAAAGATAATGAATAAAAGCAACGGAAAAAATAATCAAATCAAATTTGTCTATATCTGATAAAAATCAAAAATATTCAGTTTAAATAAATTCAAAGTGACAAATTCATTTTCATCAACTGAACTATATAATTTAAAACAAATATGTATTCTTCTTACCAATATTCAATCCATTGTTTGATAATCGTGGAAACATTTTTGGCAAAACGATGACGAGAGAATTTATATGTTGAAATAAAGGAAAAGAAGTAATTATTGGTTCTATATTCATCATTTTTAATTTTAAATCTTTTATGTCCGAATAATAAAGATAATGATCATTTGTTGATCGTGTATCAAATGATCCATAATAAATAATTGGAATGTTTATTTGTAGATTTCTTTCGTATTTGTGATAAGCAAATGTGCGTAATATAGCAATCTCGACTATAACAAAAAAACACTGTATGTTCAAAAAAATTTCATTTCGGGATAAACAGATTTTCATAGGCTAATGTTTGAGTCTTCATTGTGAAATAATTGGTTATCTGTGCATTGTTGTTGATATTTTATGAATATTTCTTTGCTCGTCTTAACAAAGTCGATTTTTGTGATAGAAAACTATTTAAAGACAAGATAGATGGTTGTAAAGTCTGAGACATGAGAATTTCATAGTAAACATGATAGTTGGTTGATCCATTATTTTTATGATAGATTTTGAATATTGGTTTCCTCCTTTGTCATATAGAAAAGTTATCCTTTTCTTCAACAAAGTCAAATATATTGCGGTTACAAATGAAAATGTTTCTTGCCTATTTTGTTATCTCACAAGCCAGAATTGTCGAAGGAGCTTGATTTTAACCAATTAATATTTTTATTTTCTTTGAAAGGACATGTTTAATTGCAGAACACACTTATTGGATTTAACTAGTATTTTTCTCATATTTGAAAGCGTGTCTATAAGAATTCCCATTCTTACTGACTTTTTTCGGACTAGTTGAACTTCTAATTTCTTTCTTTCGTATAAGATGTAACAATAAAAAAATGACTTTGTCAGGACCTTCAGACAAGTGGTTTCTGTTGAACAAGAAAGCAAATTATTCTTTAAAATAATCACTGACAAAGAAATTTTGACTACCAAAAACAAAAAACTATTTTTATCTGTTTTTCTTTGTAAGTATCTGATGAATGCGCAATCCTACTGAGCTCGGAATCGTACCATAGCCTCTCCACTAGATCCTCAACCTGAAGTTGTTTTCATCTTCTGAATACTTTTTTTTCTTTGTACATTGTCTGTAATAAGATAAAGACAGCATATAGACTGAAATTCATTTCCTGATTGCATTTCTATTTCATGCCAACTTTTTTTCTATTCTTTCTTTCCAATTTAAAGCAATTTTACTTACATAGATTTCTCTCATCAAGTACCCATCGATCAATAATCATTTGCCATTCGGGATATTTTTTAACAAAATATTCAAATGAATTTACGACCCGGTCTAAATTTAATTTGGGATAATATCTCACAATTGATATATGAAAATCAAATTTAGATAAAAATGGAACATGCATTTCAAACATATGTTGCCATTTATAACCATTGAGAAAATGTTCAGCAGATAGGCTCCTTATTTTTCCTGCTTCATGAAGAAACTTAAAATGAACAAGATTTGGCATAGAACGTAAGATATAAGCGATTGAATCAATGTAAGATTGACCAAAAATTGATAAATCGAAGCATGTCAATTGTGGTGATATAGGAAGATCATTTTCATTAATAAATGCTTCTGGAATTGAAAAACTAAAAGAAAAAAAAAGAATAATTATATTTTCAATCTTGTTTTATAAAGAATATTCATCGGATATTTTCATTACAACTTACTTTAAATAATTATTTTCAGATAGAATTTCATGTTTTATTATGGCATGTAGATATCGTATTCTATGACAAACACGAAGAATTGGCAAAATTGAATAAATTGATACTTTATTCGATGAGCCAGATATTAACAATTCAAGTGATTTAATATTTGAAGCATTTGAAGTATAAGTTGATATGTCCAAGTAATCATAATCATAATGAAGCTTAATTGAACGAAGAGAAGATGATTTGTTCATCAATATAGTTCGAGTTATATCACATTTATCTTTCTCATTAATTTTTTTATCATGTGGTTGTATAATAAAAAATGCAACAAGTCTATTCAAACTTTCAACTTGTTTAATAACATTTTCAAGTTCAGTTGATGAATTATCCAATATAAATATACATGATTGAAGATTAATAAAATGATGTCGATTAAATAGTAAACTAATAATAGATGAATGATCACGAATTGTATCATAACATTTTAATGATATGACTTGATGAGCATGAAAAGTAAGAAGAGAAGAAAGAAAATTAATTTCTCGATCATAATGACTATTTAAGATATTGACATGAAGTCGAATTGATTGTAGAATAGATTGAATTCGTTTATTTAATGAAGCAAAAGCAGTAAATATATCAAGTGCATGTAAATAATCAAATATTTCAAAGAAAATTTCATTTGATAAATCTTCTAAACATGTACATATATCCATTTGAATAAATGACGAGAATAAAAGATGTTAATAGTCCAATAGCTCAGTTTATTATGTGTAAAGAATGTATCAAATGAGAGAACAATTGATAAATAGCATGTTATTATATACTTTACAATAAGCAGTCTATGAACAATACGGACGGCGAAATAAAATGAAAAATGGAGTTGATTGTCGATTTATCTTTATATATATATAAGTGAAACAAAGACATTCATAAAAGATATGTTGATGATATCAACTCGTCGAATTATTTATTCTATTCATTATATAATCTTACAGAGAAGAAGAGTGATGGAAAAAGAAACAAGTAAACTTCTTCGGATAGTGTAGGGTCATTAATGGTTATTATGCTGGATTTATCTATAATACAGTATCTCTTCTACAGCTATGTCTATTCGATTCGTATCTATAATTCATTGACATACAAAAAATTTTTAATTCATAGAACAATTCCTTATAGAATAAGAAAAAAGACTACTTAATCAGTGGCATCTATGAATTATTTAGAAATGATAGATAGCTACAGTTTAACTTTAACGATTTGACTGTTGGAATGGCAAAATTTGAAAAGAGTTAAATAAAATGTTTTTCTAAATTTAAATATTCCAATATATTTCATTTATGATTTTATAATCGATATTAACTTGTATACTTAAGCTAATACAAGAAAAAGTAGTTCAAACATATAGCTTCGTCATATAACGGATAATGAAGAGTTTTTAATAATAATGTATATACTCTTTTAATGATGATTTTTCTCGAATATTTTTATGAAAAAGAAAATATTATTATTTCTCAACGAATAATTTAAAATGAACAGTGTAGAATGATGACACGTTAATCTAACGACAACAAAAAACAAAAATGATTCTCAAGGCTCATTTAACTATTATTTAGTCTACAACATTTTGTCAAATTATGTTTCAATCATTCGCTACGATAATGGTTTTGATATACATGATAGTTTTTTCTTTTTTACATTTTATGTGTTATAATTTTGGTAGTTGATGATAAGGGTGCAGAATCTACTCGTAGGCTGCAGCAGCACTGTTGGAAAAAAACAGTTCACTCGAAGAAATTCACGAAAATGGAGGAGAAAAAAACTTGAACTAGAATGGAATATATAAAGAGTTATTTAGTGAGGAAAGTTTTCCAAGTTTAAAAGAGAAGAAAAACACCATTTCCTCAAAAATTTAATGCAACTTTTTCTTTCTAAGAAAAATCTAAACATTTCTAGATCCATTGCTACAAATATTTTGACCTGCTCTCTCTTTGTGAGAATTTATTCTCTTTATTTGTTATCTTATACGTGTAAAAAATCAACTCACAGATTTATTTCTTTTAAGATGAATAACAGGCACTTGTTTGCCAGACAAACTCTAGAGTAAATACTTCAACAATCGATGTGAATATATTTTACAAAAACTTAGCATCTATGTTGAGCTCAATAATGGCAAAAAAGATCGAACGTTAGAAAGCAACGAACATGAGGCAATATTTGTTACATATAGATAACAAACATCTGATTCATTTTCAGTGATCGGCGGCTTTGAATATTCGTAGTTGATAAGTGTCAATTTTTTTCCTGCTTCGTAAGTTGTTTTTTACTATTTTCTCTGAATTATTTTATTTAAAACTTGCGAAAAAGAGTTTTTCCAGAGGAAATATTCTAGAAAGCAAACATTCCACTGAATAATTTTCCTAGCCTCGTCAATAGATATTGTTAAAAATGGCATTCTTACTTGGACTTATTCAAGCGACAGAAATTATTTTTAGATTTTCATACATTCTACGGAAATCTTTGGCAGATTTTGCATCTTTAGTTGATGATCTTATACGAATAGGAGGAAAAAGGCATTTTAATATTCTTTATGGTTTTCTTCGTGTCGACTTGATACTCTTATTTGAAGAATAAAAACAGAAAGATGAAAGCAATCTTGATTCGACAGCTTTTGCAACTAAATCTGCTCGTCATCTTGTCTTGTTCAACCATTTTCACTTTGATCATCTTGTTCTTCGTTTTCATTAATTGTTTGTTGATCATGATCACTGATACTAGCATGAAGTATTTCAGTACCTTGAAGATATGGTAGTAGATTTACTTCTGCATAATCAAGTGAAACAAGATCATGTTAAAATTCAGTTGGTTTTCCTTGATCTTTTCTTTCTAATAAAAGTGGATTTTTCTTACGAAATAATTGATTTAATGAACGAACTGAAGCTGAAACAAATTTATCATGATACAGTTTATATTTTGAAAGATAGAACATAAATCCAATAACTGGTTGAAGAATATTGCAGAGAAATGTGAATGTTTGCATAAAGACAGGTCTTACAATGGAGGGTCGGGACATGTACATCGAGTTTAGCCCTCATTTTTATACCAGAGAGAGTACTCATCGAGATATTTAAAACTTCAAAGTTTGGAATGCCCATGGCTTGAGATAAGAGAAATAACTGAATTTCAATTTTCCATCGTCTTATGGATTTTAGCTGTGATAATGATGAATTATCGATCTAGAAACTTCCGAATCATCTTCCCTGTACAAAATTCTCTCTTGAATAAGGATCTGAATCAATTCTCTTGTTGAAACGTCTTGTTCTTGACGTTCTCTTACAGCTCTATCGATAGAAGAAACAGACACTGTGGACATCTAGAACGAACTGAAGAAGCGAATGTAAACGATGAATGCATAGATACGTTAGCTAATGGACAATCTTTGACCTTTGACCTTTGGTCTTGACCTTTAATCCGGCACAGATACACAGGCACACACTGAACATTATATATAAGGGATTTTTACAATTTATATGACGAAATCAAGATATATATAGTTCAATTTAAGCTAAATATTTAATATAATTTATATAAACAAATAAAACGAATATCGAGTATTAGATCCAGAGGCAGCGGAACGGTTCTAATTTAGGGGAGGCTCAAAATGTTTCAGGCAGTAATGAGAGAATGAGATGAACGGGGAGGAGCAATTTTATACCTTTCCAACTCTAACTCGTATTAAAGAGATGCCAGTTATTCCGGTATGTTTTCAACAGAGTTTATTTTACATATATTTTTTGTACAGGCAAATCATGTAATCTTGAAATTTCGTGAAGAGATTTGTCGTTAAATTTACGAACCTTTCGTGATTTATCATTTTTAGTATTCATTAGATTCATTGAGCAAACGGAATTCTTCTGTTTGATAGTACAGGATACAATTCAATCCTATTTTAAATAAATGTGAAAACCTCGGATTTACATCCGAGATTTATGTGTCGTATAAAAAGTGAATGAGACAAATCGGTCATCCTAGAATGTGTGGATATAACGATTAGCCTGGCTAACCCTTTCTATAAACACTTGAATTCTATTGGCTACTGCTCAACCAATAGGATTTCTGGGTGAATACAGCTCAGATTTGAACTCTTCGCCTTGAGTTATCCTCATAAAGTCGTTTTTCCTATAACTTGATTTCTATTGGTTAGTGCTTAACCAATGTGGCTTCGAGTCAAGTGGATTACAGATTCGAATTCTCCATCCCAGAAAACCTCGAAGTATTATCTCTGTGATCGGAATATAGAGCTCGAATTGTGGATTGACTAGAGCGCAGACAAAAACAGAGTCGATTTCCGTTGATTTATCCTTGCAATAGGTGTGCTAGCCTTCTTATTTCTTTATGTTTTATATACCATTTTGTAGCTCGTGAAATTCTCTATCGAATGGTATATAATAGTTGAGATTTTATTTGACTATGATAGGGAAAATGTTTTACGAAAGTGAGGATAGGTCGATTTTCCTATAGGAAGCCGTAGGGAAAATCAGTATTTTTGCAATAACTCAGGAACGGCTCGGCCAATCCTTCTCATCTTCGAACTCGATCGAGACAATGTTAAGAATAAACTGTATAGAAAATTTCATCGTGATTGGACTCTCCTTTCAAAAGTTATCGTGTAAACGGCCGGACGGCCGGACATACTGACCGATTGTAGAGTGTATGAACTTTTTGAGTACACAAAAGTATATGACCTGAAAGAGTGACCTTTCACCTTCAACCAAGCACCTGTCTTTGCTTCAATTTCTTCCATTTGACGATGAGATGATCACGAGGATTTACAGAAAAATTTCGAAAGAATAGTTTGTAGAAGTTGCTGGAATTTTTAAGGCAACTGCATGACAAGGACCTGTTGAGTTTTTGTGAAAAGCTCTTAGAAAAGCAAAAGAAAGAGTATATGAAGTATTGTCACTATCCACCATATTGGAAGTAACTTAAACATCTCTAATATATCTATTTCTTATTAGTCTCCGTACAAATATTCTGGAAATTTGAACGCTTTTTTAAAGAAACGAAATACCCTGTTGACTAGCTTAAGGGGATCTCCACCCACTTTTCGTGGTTTCTCGAGAACAGCTGAACGAAAAATGATGACACTTTCAGGGCAGTTAGATCCTGATGAGTAGAGCAAAAGTTGCCATAGACTCAAGAATTCCAAATTCTTCCTTCAGAGAGATATACGGTACCTAAGAGTCAAAAATGGGTAGTCTTCCTTCTCGCAAAACTTTATGTTATATCTTTCTGAGCTGCCATTTTTTCTGTGGCGACTATGATCAAATCGGGATATGTCTTTTTGTTTCCTTCAAAAAATATTTTTCCTACAGCTCAGAAGGAGCAAAATACTGAAGGCACTATCGAAAAATGTGCTTTTTTTCAATAGTGCTAATGTTCCAAAGGATACCAAATTTCATAGGAACAATATTACCAAGTAAGAAAAAAAAAGACACACCCCAATTGGATCAAAGTACTTATTAAAAAAACTTTGAGTCCGGCCAATTGAACCGCGGCAAAGAAAAAGGAGTAAAACGTCATTTTTTTGCTTGAAAATTTGATTTTGAGAAAAACGCAGAGAAAGTTGTACTTTTTGGCTTTTTAGCATAAAATTGAGTTTTTTTTCGACGCTTTTACATGTAAAAAGATTGTTTTGTCTTCTTTAAATGTGCTC